GTTCAAACATCCTCCTTTATCTCGGAGAACTTTGTTATTACCAATGTTCTGAAGCCTTCTTCTGTCAACTCGTCAAAGTCATTCTCCATCCAACTTTGTTCCATTGCAGCGAGGAGCTGTGATCCTTTGGAGGAGAAGAGGCATTCTGGTTTTTAGAATTTTCAGCTTTTCAGCTCTGGTTTCTCCCCATCTTTGTGGTTTTATCTACCTTTGGTCTTTGATGTTGGTGACCTACAGATGGGGTTTTGGTGTGGACGTCCTTTTTGTTGATGTTGATGCTATTTCTTTCTGTTTGTTAGTTTTCCTTCTAACAGACAGGTCCCTCAGCTGCAGGTCTGTTGGAGTTTGTTGGAGGTCCACTCCAGACCCTATTTGCCTGGGTATCACCAGCAGAGGCTGCAGAACAGCAAATATTGCAGAACAGTAAATATTGCTGCCTGATCCTTCCTCTGGAAGCTTTGTCCCAGAGGGCACCTGCCTGAATGAGGTGTCAGTCAGCCCCTTCTGGGAGGTGTCTCCCAGTTAGGCTACACAGGGGCCAGGGACCCACTTGAGGAGGCAGTCTGTCTGTTCTCAGAGTTCAAATGCCATGCTGGGACAACCACTGCTCTCTTCAGAGCTGTCAGACAGGGATGTTTAAGTCTTCAGAAGTTTCTGCTACCTTTTGTTCAGCTATGCCCTGGCCCCAGAGATGGAGTCAACAGGCAGCAGGTCTTGCTGAGCTGCGGTGGACTCCGGCCAGTTTGACCTTCCCTGGATGCTTTGTTTACCTACTCAAGTCTCAGCAATGGCTGATGACCCTCCCCCTGCCAGGCTACTGCCTCACAGGTCAATCTCAGACTGCTGTGCTAGCAGTGAGCAAGGCCCTGCCAAGCCAGGTGCAGAATATAATCTCCTGGTGTGACATTTGCTAATACCATTGGAAAAGCACAGTATAGGAGGAAATGTCCAATTTTTCCAGGTACAGCTCATCATGGCTTCCCTTGGCTAGGAAAGGGAAATCCCCCATCCCCTTGCACTTCCCAGGTGAGGCAATGCCCTGGCTGCTTTGGCTCACCCTCCTTAGGCTGCACCCACTGTCCAGCTAGTCCCAGTGAGATGAACCCGGTACCTCAGTTGGAAATGCAGAAATCACCCATCTTCTGCGTCGATCATGCTGGGAGCTGCAGACTGGAGCTGTTCCTATTCAGCCATCTGAGAAGCACTATTATGTCTTACATGACATAACTTGATTTACCTTTCCCAAATGAAAATTAATAAGGGTTGTACCTCAAGATGTTAGTAAAAGGTCATTGCTTTATATTTAATTTTTCTAAATTCAATTATTCCGTCTTGGTAAAAACAGACGAAAGGAGGAGTTGGTCAAAGAGAAGGAAACAAATCATTTAAATTGGGTCACAATTCTGGCCTGCCATTTCACTAAATGACCATGAGATGAAAAGCAAGTCTGCTCTTCTCAGATCAGGCTCAGTTCTTGGTGCCTGTCAACATGAAGCTGTTTTAAAATGTGGTCTTTTGGTGTGACATGGTCCCTACAGGCAAACCTGCTATACTACTTAATGTTCAATCAGAGAAATCAACAATTTGTTTTGACATTGAAGGAAAAATTGACAGTGCTGGATATATTGAGAGGTGGGCTGTGGGTCTCCAAAAAGGTCACTTCCAAAGGACTTTCCAGAACTAGTTATGTTTAAATTCATTTTCCTTACTGATTGTCAAATCTAATCACTAAGTAGCAGTATAAGTCCCTTGTATTGAGATATAATACCATTTATATTGTATGCCTGGTGCTAGTATGTTAATTTGTTCAATACTCATAATAAGCCTATACTTATATTTATACATCTATACTATCCTATGAACTTTTCATTTTAATTGTGAAGGAACTGAGGAACACAGAGATTTGACAACCTGCCAGCATCATACATTTGGTAAGAGTAGAGCTTGGGTTTCAAACCCAGGCCTGGCTCTGAAATCTGAGCTTCTTTAAGACTAGGATATAATTTTATGAATAAATATAGACTTACTTTTTAAAAAGTTTTATTTTTATTTTTATATGGGTGCCCGGGCTTAGGGATTGAGAGGAGCGGGTGCTCAGGGAAGGGGCTAAATATTGACTCTAGCAACCCAAAAATGGTTACTTCCAAGCAAAGGAAAAATTTCTTCTCATCTTCTACCAGTCAATATGAAGACACTGAATTCACTATGTAGCCAGAAAGGTAATAAAATATTTGAAGACTGAAAAAAAAAGTATAGAATGGACAGATCACTGCTGCTGAGAAAAATGAAAAGCTCTTAAAGGCCACAGGCAAAGCTTCATTGGCCTCCTCAGGGGCCCAGAGGTAACCTTACTCCTTTCTGGGAATTAATGGTTTGCGTATTCTTCATTGTCCATGTCCTTCCCCACCTAGACTGTGAACATCTCAATGGGTAGAACTCTGCTGTCTTAATCATACTAGAATCTAAAGTGCTTAGTACAGTGCCTGGTACATAATAAATGCTTTCAAATGTGTTGAATGAAATACTAAATGAATGAAAAAGATAATAAAATTGTAATTCATATGGTGACTGGATTTTTGTTCTTTATCTCTCTCTAATAGAGCATACATTATTCAGTAACCTTGAGGCTGATGCTTTCCACTCTTACAAGCCCCAGGTAATTATGCTGTCCTGAAAACACCCATTAAGGCCGTTATGCAAAATCCTCAGATGTTTATCTCTAGGGGCTGTAAGTGACCTAAGGCAATTTTTGGAAGCAGTGATAGTGCCATTAAAACTAGTAGAAAGTGGTCACTATCTTTTATGTATGTGATAAGCTTACTGTCTTTATTGTCACCTTCATAATAAGGGAAAACATTTTACTTTATTTATTTATTTTCTGAAGGGTGGATAATGAATTGGTAAGAGAGAGGCTAAATCCTTTGCTGACTTCTAATGATGAGCAAAAAAGACAGTTCGAGTTCAAGGGTGTTTTCTCTGAGACAGAGTTTTTCACCTCAGGGCAATCGATGCTTCTTTGTGAAACTAAACCTGCTAATTGGTATCCTCCTCTGACAATGCCTACATTGGGTCCCTGGAACCCAATAAGTGTCTAGGGCCCCTGGCTATCTAGCAATCATGGGAACAAGAGGGGAATAAATTATCATTAAAGACTCATTGTTCTCCACAGCTGGGAGTTTGGGCATTTAAAAGCGTCAAAATGTGCTAGGTCATTTAATAATTTACTTCCTGAAGTAGATTCTAATTCTAATTGAAATGTATGTTTTACTTAGCACTAAGTGGGAAATGTAGAACCACACTTTTGAAGGGATCTCTTTGAAAGCTGCTTGCTTTGGTTTTATTGAATAGCTTTGCCTTCAGCTTTGCAACTTTGTATTCTAGTTTATATAGTCTTTATAAAGATAACTATTCTTGTAAATCTGGCATAGGTTTAGTTTTTTTCCCTAGGCTTTGCTCACAGAATTCAGACGCCTGACTCTGGAACAGAAAGTGAACATGCGTGCTTTGCAGATGATTCTGACTTAAACATATGGCTATTATGTTGTACATTTTAAAAATGATATTTAATGCAGCGATTCCTGCTTTCCATATGGTTTGATTTTGTTTTCCCCCTCCCTTCCAATCCCATGCATGTTAGTTCTTCGCCTACTACGTCACAGCCTTGTGGGGATGTGTTCATCAGGGTCAGAGCATGACAACATGTCAGCTTGCACATTGTATATAGCTGGCACTCTTTTAGCTGGAAGCAACACAAGCTAGTTTAAACAATTGGGACAATTATCATCTCACTAAATGGAAAGTTCAGAGTCAGGGCAAACTCCATGTTTAATCAGCAGCCCAGTATGGTCACCAAACCCCTAGGATTTTTCTTTCCATCCTGCTCATTTCAATGTCACGTTCATCCAAAGCCTGGTTCCTCTCATAAATCCCAAGAAGGCTCATGGGTTAATCAGACCTTTATTCTTTCTTGTTTTTGCCAGCAGGAGAGAGAATGATGATCTTCCAACAGGAAAGATCTTTGCTGTCAGTCTAGTTGGGCCATCAGAGGCCTCACACCAAGTGTAGTTGTCAGGGGAATGTGAATTGGGTTCGACCGTCAATGTCCAATATGGTGGCCACTAGCCATACTAAGCCCTTGAAATATGGCTAGTCCAAAATGACATGCACTGTAAGTGAAAAAGATACACTGGATTTTAAAGATGTAATATGAAAAAAATGTAATATAGCTCATTAATAATTTCTATATTGATTATATTGACAATATATTTCAGATAGATTAAATAAAATACATTATTAAAATTGATTTACCTGTTTCTTTTTACTTTTTAAAAAATGTGACCGCTAGAACACTTTAAATTACATATATGGCTTCCCATATTTCTATTGGACGGCGCTAGCTAACTAATCGAGATTCCCTCTGAAGTAGGAGTGAGCTACACACTCGAATGAAATTTAAGGTTTTCTTAGAAAAAGGAAAGGAAGAATCAGTGTTAAGTAAGCAGCCACATGGTCTACTTTGTCTGGAGGACCATTTTTTAAATTTCTCTCTTGTTGTTTTTATTCTAACTTCTAATTGGTGGCTGGAGGATATAAGAAAATCAGTAGTAACATGTGGGTTTCGTTGGGGACCAGGACAGCTTTTTCCAAGCATTCCAAACTATGTACTATGTGGGAATTTTGAGACAGCAGAGATGTCATATATTGTTCTTGATTGCCAAGTAAGTTCACTGGGAACGACGTTGGGTTGAGCTCACAGGCCTGAATCCTTTTCCACTGCTTAAACAATTTTATTTTGTTTCATGTTCAGCATTTATTCTGTTATTAAAGCAATATGTAACAGTGGCACCAAATATGTAAAAATGATTAATACACTGTGGGGCACAGGAGACCTTTCCTGGTGTCAGTTGCTTGTTGCTTTCCACTCTGCAACATTTCTCTTTCTTTTCCTTTTTGTTTCTTGCCTTACACTCACAGGCAGAAGGACTCCTTTTCACACTTACCTTATTGTAGGTAACCTCTGTCTGTTTCACAGCTAATTGTGCAACGAAGAACAAGGATTTCATAGAGTTTGTAGAATAATCGGGAAGCCTGTAGACATTAGTGAAGAAAAATCACGTGAATTCTTGACAAATTGTACATTACTGTCAAGATGGCCAATTGTAAAGCCGAGACTCTTCCTTGAGAAAAGTCTCTCGTCATCAAAGGTGTGTATGCAGGGCAGGACGATATTCTGCTTTAGGTTCAACTCACCCCAGGGCTGGTATTCTCCTTGCACACAGCAGCACAGCCTATACCAGGAGCTGCACTATTGAAATCCTTCTGCGGAGTTACTAAATAGCCACTGCCCAAAACCCCCACATTCCTTTCTTACCACCTTGGCTTTTCTGGCCTCTCCCCCTGAAATCTGGCAGTGAAGATGCAGAAGGGACCTCCAGGGTCATCTTGGTGCTGAAGGGACTTCCAGGACTCTGCCACACTTTTAAACAATGCTTCAACTGCCCAACATTTAAATCTGCCTTACACTAGTGATCAGTTTCCATCTTAACAAAGAGACAAAGGAAAACAAAATATCTGGAATGAAAACTAGGAAGGCGAAGGGCCGAGCGCAGTGGCTCACACCTGTAATCCAGCACTTTGGGAGGTCGAGGTGAGTGGATCATGAGGTCAGGAGTTTGAGACCAGCCTGCCCAACATAGTGAAACCCCGTCTCTACTAAAAATACGAAACTTAGCCAAGTGTGGTAGCGGTCACCTGTAGTCCCAGCTACTCGGGAGGCTGATGCAGGAGAATTGCTTGAACCTAGGAGGTGGAGGTTGTAGTGAGCTGAGATAGTGCCATTGCACTCCAGCCTGGGCAACAAGAGTGAAACTCCATCTCAAAAAAAAAAAAAAAAAAAAAAAAAGAAAAGAAAAAAAAGGAAATAATCTAAGAAGGCAACTTAATGCTTTCTTTGATGATTTCTAATAAAAAACAAAATCATTGTAATTTTTTATTGATACACACCATTTAAAGACTTCTCTTGAAGAGTCATAGTGAAGCAGAAAGAAGACTAGCACTTTGTGATATGATAACTAGATTCCAGTTTTATCCTGACACTGGCCACCTGTGTGAACTTGGTAAGTTTCATCATTTCTGCAAGCCTCACTTCCTCATGAGTAAAAAGCAATAATGCCAGTTCCCACTTCAGAGTTATGAGGGTAAAAATCAAATAAAATATGAAAGCAACCAGCCCTGTTCTTGGCACATCACCAATGCTTGATAAGCTCTGGTCAAATTAGAATTTGAGAAGCTGGAGAACAACTGCATGAAAGAATTTTTTGTAACTTTGTATTGAAGTAAGACACACAGGCAGAAAATGCAAATTACTGTATTTAATGTAATGAATTCCTGTAGAGAGAACACATGTAACCAGCACCCCCATCAGGAAATTAAACATTATCCATACCCCAGGAGTCCCCTCCTGCCTCCTTTCAGTCACCCATCCCCAAGGAACTTTTCATGCCAAACTGATTGTTTTAATGTGGGAACCGAATATTGCACATGCTCTGATGGGCTTAAGTGCTTAAAAACAAACAAAAAGGGTTCAGGTGAGTTGTTCTCCAGACTGAATGGAGAACCTGCGATAGATTAAGTAGAGGCGCGTTAAAGACAAGCACACAATCTCTCACTCACTCCTACACTCACACGATCATACGCTGCAAATGTGTAAGGACTTCCTGTTCTGTGACCAATGCCAGGTTAAGGATTATGGCATTTGCAAACGTGCTCCCGCTTCTCCAGGATTTTTTTTTTTTTTTGAGAAGTCTCACTCTGTCACCCAGGCTGGAGTGCACTAGAGTGATCTCAGTTCACTGCAGCCTCCACCTCCCAGGTTCAAGCAATTCTCCTGCCTTAGCCTCCCAAGTACCTGAGATTACAGGTGCATGCCACTGCACTAAGCTAATTTTAGTAGAGATGAGGTTTTACCATGTTGTACAGGCTGGTCTTGAACTCCTGACTTCAGGTGATCTGCCCACCTTGGCCTTCCAAAGTGCTGCGATTACAGGCATGAGCTACTAGTACCTGGCCAGGATTTTTACAAAAGGAGCAGCATAAGCAAAACAGGAAACCACTGTCTCGGGGTCAGCAAGCCTGGTTTCTCCTACTCTGCTAGTGAACTGAAGCCTAGGGTTGGGGTAGACCAGAGAAGGCATGAATGCCAGGCAAAGGATGTCTGCAGGCAGTATGGAGTGACTGGATGCTTTTGAGTGCAGGGTGACAAGGCGAAAATATTTTTATTGTGGAGGATGTATCTGGGAAAAGAGGGACTAGCCACAGAAAGTCAGTGAGGAGGCTCTGTGAAACAGTCTAAGCCAATGAAGCCTCAGAATCACCTAGAGAGGCTTAAGCCACAGATTGCTGGGATCCTTCCCCAGGGTTGCTGCTTTAGAGGGTCTAGTTAATCTGAGAATTTATATTTTGTTTCCAGGTAATACACTTTGAGAATCACAGTTCTGAGCCAAAAGTTCTCAACACTCACAATACATTAGACTCATCTAGAGAGTGTTTTACAAACATCCATGCCCACGTCTCACCTCCAAAAAAAGCCTAGGGTTTAATTAGTCTGGGGTAAAGCCTGGGCATTGACATTTTCTAAGAATGATTCTATAGCATCACCAATTTTGGGAACCACTTATCTAGACAGGGATTCTGGAATGTGGCTCCTTATCAGAATTACCCAGGGAGCATAATAAATAGATTCCTGGGCGCCACCCCAGATAAAGGACATGTAGAGTGGAGCCCTGGCATTCCTATGCTTGATCTTCACAGACTGGTCACGCTGATACAGATGGTTCCCACACTGGCTTTTGGGAACTGCTGGTCTGGAAAGGCAAATGAGGACACAAACCCTAAAAACAAAGTATGAGGAATGGCAATAAATGAGAGCTCCTAGGATTTTCTGACTGTTTAGATGGGCAGACCATGGAAGGAATTGAAGCCCAGAGGGTGGGAAATCTATCTACGGGTCACAAGAAAGCCTTGTGTGGCCGTCAAGGTGTGGTCATAGAAGACTGCTGGTCGCACAAAGAGCCACAACTTGAATCAGTTATCTTCCTGCCAACAGCCTGACATATCCAGACACCCCATCTTATCAAACCCTGACAATTAGTGGGTGCTAATTCATGCTGACTAAGCCCTAGGAGGTTCAAGTCTCTAACATAGCATGCAACTGTTAATTTTCACTGAGAAACAATAACAACCAAGGTCGCCAAACACTTGTATTCTTCCCATGGGTAAATTATACAGAAAGCCAAATTGTCATCAGAAAGTTGCTGGGTAGAGATGGAATCAGAGCAGAGAGGAGTTAATTGCATGATTCAAATGTTTAGGGGCATCAGGTTGTGATAGCTGGGTGCCTCCTTCTCTACAAGTAAATATTTGGAGGAGTCTGAAAAGACACAGCCTCTAATGGACAGTTCCTAATGGCCACAGCCAGTATTTGCCCCAGTGACTCGGCTGGGTTTATGCTCCACCATCCGCAGGCTAATTAATTCATTAAGTCTTTAGATATATGAATATCCTCAATCAAATGAGTCTCATCTTGCTCACTCTTGAGTCCCTGTGTTTCTTAGGGTGATTTTGCATATCTCTCACCTGAACAATGATGTAGTTTACAGTGTAGTTCTAAGAGGATAATTCCATTTTCCTTAATACTACACTTCTGGAGTGGTAGTATTAGGGAAAAATACCGTTGCCACATAGAGTTCAATTTCACTATTTTAGCAACGATTAGTCTTATTTTATGCGGCAGAATTAGAGGCTAATATTTTAATTATTTTTAGGTTTCTTCAAAGCATAGTATACTGTCATGGTTAAAAGAGACCTAGTTAACCCTGAGCATATGAAGCCTTTATGCTCAGATCATGAGGTCACAATACTGGGTTACTTCTCACCTACTATGAGCTTCCTCGAAAAGCAGGCAGGCAACTGTAGTTAGAAAACAAAGAATTCAGTTCAGTAAGTGTGCCTGGCAACCTAAACCTGCAAAGTGATGGCAAACGTCCCAACCCTATTTTAGCTTTACAATTATGTTGATGATGAAACAGGCTCTTTGTGAGAGCCAAAAGTAGAACAAAGCATTTGTATCATGCTTGATAAAGATAACAAGAGAAATAAATCCAAACCATAGCATTTAGTTGGCTTCTTGAGGAGAGAGAAGGAGTGGGAGTGATGAGATGTGGACTCCCCAAGTGCACATTTGTTGCTTAGTGACATGAGGAGCAGCTCTTTAGCAGGAGGGGGAAGAAGATGCAGGTGGGGAATCCTTGAATCTGCTTTCTATAGAAGCAGACAGGATGTGTCTTCTCCGACCCCTTGATACTCTTCTATTTATGTCAGGCCTTCTGGGTGACTGTGCTCAGATTCTTATTTAAATCCAATTAAATCTGGGACTTGAGTAAACACAGATGTATATCATGCAGAAGATAGTAGTAAAGGATTCTGCATATAGGCCAGAGCAGCTGTATCTTTTCTGCTATTTAAGGTTTGGGTTTTTTCTTAGTATCTTGGAAAGAAAAAGTGACAGTAAATATTGGCGGTTTTAATTTTATACAGAACCAGAGTCTCTCCTTTTTCTAGCCTTTCCCCTTGGCCTAGGCCAGATTGGCTTTATTAAAACAATCTGATCAGGCCCCTCTCCTTCCCGTGGCTCCCCACTGTCCACAGAAAAACGTTCATTCCCAAGGGGACCTCAGACTTCCTTCATGACGGGTTCCCCCTTGGCTGCATAGCCTAACATCCTGCCACTTTTCTCCTCGCATAGAATATTCCATCCAATGCAGACTTTCAGGGTGTCCCCAGTTCAGAGCTCTTTCACTTCTGTACACTTCATCTACCTCCTTTACCTTGCCTGAAAGTGAGAATTACAGAGTCTGGAGCAAAACTGCCACCCGTTATGGCTCTGCATCTTCATTAAGTGGTGTGGCCTTAGGCAAATTACTTAACCTCTCAGTGCCTCAGTTTCCTCCTGTCCAGTAAAAGGATAGTAGTGGCTAACCTAGGCTCACAAGGTTGTTGGCCTTAAATGCATTAATGCATACAAAATGCAGAGCAGTGCCTGGCACATAGGAAATAGTTAATATTTTTAACTTCTACATATGCTACAAGACTAAGCCTAAACATTATTTTCTGTGGGAAGTCTTACACTGTCAGATGTAAGATAATTCTCAACCAAGGGTGATTTTGCACCACCACCCTCCCGAGGATTTTTGGCAATGTCTGGAGACATTTTTGGTCATCTCAAACAGTGGAATGCTACCAGTAGAGGCCAGGAATGCTGGTAAAAAAATTTAAAAATCTATTTTGCACAGGACAGCTGTTCCACAGCAAGGAGTCATCAGGTCCAAAGTGTCAACAGTGCCAAAGTTGAGAAATTCTGACAAAAGGCACACTATGACGTTTCTTAATATTCAGTCTATTAATATTTGTTCTTATGTCTTTATTGAAGACAACAAAACATAGCAATAATACCTAAGCTTTATAAACTATATCTCAGTGACTCATGTTGAATTGTAGCTTTTCAACTTGCCATTCTGGCTATCTTAGTCAGCCAGCTGTTAGTATTGAGCCAGGTGTCATTCTATGCACTTTGCCTTTATTAATTCATTTAACCCTAACAACAACTCTATAAGGTAAGTGCTTTATTACCCTTATTTTACAGACGAGGAAGCTAACGCAAAGTGACAAAGTAGGGTTTGAACTCAGTCTTGCTCCAGAAATTATGCAGAGTTGGTTAAGACTGAGTCCCCCACTAGAAGTCATCTTCCTGTCTTAAATGATTTATAATGGTTGTTTTATTTTCCTTTTATTGTCATCTTTGGCAGAGAAATTGACTCTGGCTTATTCAGTCTTCTTAACAGAGGACCTACTGATTTTGAGATGTTAGGCTGATTAGAGAGGAAAATAACAGCAACACAAAAAGGGGAATAAGAAAATAAACCTCTGAAGAATTTGATGCTTGAGTCTAGTGATGTATGTAAAAGCACTTTGCAAGTTGTAAGGCAGTGGTTTTCAAACTATGATGTATTCAAACTATGATGTATTCCACAACTACCAGGAGAGTTTGTTAAAAATGCCGACTTCCCAGTGTCACCCTCAGAGATTCTGATTGCATGAATCTGGGGCCTTGCCCAGGAATCTGCCTTTTTAACAAGCTCCCAGGTGACCTTGATGCAGGTGGTCCAGTTGCTCACCTTGGAAACATGCTGTACATATGGGGCTTAGAAGCGAGAGCTAGCAAATCCCAGAAGAATACTTGAGTTTTTGCCTGTAGAATAATTCAAACCACCTGAGTGGTAGCTTATTAGTGCTTTTCTGGTTCCCCGGTAACTCACTAGCTTTAGGCCAAGGAGCTTGATTGAGAGGGTATTGACGGGGAGGAAGGAGAGGAAAAGAAAGGAATAGGGCCAATTAAAACCACCTTCCCACTGAGGTGATTGTTTCTCAGTGGACAATGAAGGAGCTGTGGAGCACCTTCTTCCTTCAGTGTCTCCCTAATTGGCTGTTGTGACTATCATTCTGCCCTGAGGGAGGTTAATAGAAACAAGAGAGAGAAGAAAAGGATGCCAAGTAACTTAGAGCAGGAACAAAAAAGGAGCTGGCGCTCATTTCCACCAGGACAGAGAGAAGCCCTGATTGGTCTCTTTCCCTAAGGTCCTCTTTCATACATCTCTACGACCTTTCCCCTCCTTTTTTCTTTTCTCCCTCAGAGGGACCAATAAGCATGGGTTGTCTGGACAAGCAGTGCTTTATTAATGATCCAGGGAAAATTCTGATGACCCAGAATTCTGCCATAAAGTGATATCTTGTTATTGCAAAGTGATCGTGTTCTTAACCTTCTTGCTGAACCACGGTTTTTTTTGGCAGGGGGGTGGGATGAACAACAGCCAGAGGCTCTTTTATTCTGAGCATCTTTCCAAGAGATCAGTTGAGTTATTTGGATTTTCATACTGGACCGTTACATGACATGCATTAACAACGTATGCTATAAACAACTTACCTTTCACTGAGCTAAGTAATTTAAAGTAATTTTAGCAATATCATATGGCATCGTGATTAAGATTTCCTGGCTTCAATCCTGGCTCTGCAAATCACTAACTGTGTGTCCTCGAAGGTGACTTTACATCTCTAAGCTGCAGGTTCCAATCTGTAAAACTGAGATAATAATAGGACCTCCCTCCCAACATACAAACACACATACAACAGCGAATTGTTATGACCACCAAATGAGACAATACATGTAAAATACAGTGCCTCACCCACAGTAAGCCCACGATAATGTTGGCCTCCATGTTCTTTACTTTTCTGAATTATTGTTTGATATTTCTAACCTAATAACTGCTGAATTGCTGGACAAAAAAAAAAAAAAAAAACAAGAAAAAAAGGAACGTTTTTTAAAAGTGTTTCCTCTCTATTAGCATTGAACTTCAAATGCTCATAGCACACTGTAAGCAGAGCAACAGATGGATTCTATCCAACGGGAAGGACACACAACTTAGGAAGCAAACAGACATAGGAGAGCAAGATAAATCACTTAGTTGCTTACCACACACATTGTGAGACACTGAATGTGTATTAGAAGTTTCTTACCAATAGTTGGGCCTCCATTTCTTGAATGGTTTTATATTTCCAGACTGCAAACAAATGATTGTATGTGTGAAAAAAATATGGAATAGGCAGGAGGACAAATTCAAGTGAACCAGAATACCAGGGGCTCTGGTGTTCTCTTGGAGCTCTCTGCACCGGGTAAATCCTCTGAGTGTAGGCTTGCTGACAGCGGTCTCATTCACACGCAGGTTCCTCCCGGGTATAGCTCCGAGAGCAACAGCCCCCAGTCAGTGCAGGGTTACTAAGCAACTATACTCCCACGGAGGTATGAAATAAGAGAAAGTCTTGATTTTAAAAACAAAAGAAAGCCAAAACGCCCTGGTAAGCAGAGCTAATAATATAACCTGCTCTTCTCCTTTGAGTATACTAACCCTCAAGCTAGTTTACCTTTACCAGCGTATCACAACCACATGGAAATCAAATTAGAAAGCATGCGGCAATTGTATAAAGTAACTTCGAGCAATGTTTTAAATTACTGCTAATAAATTTCGTGTTAAAATGGCACCTGATATAGTGAACCCTTTTGTGTGTATCATCTCTCAACTGGGCACCTCAATGGAGGGTGATTGTCATTTGAATAATGGTTTTAGCAACTAAGTCAATGTTTAGTTTTAGACTTAATTTTTTTATTGTTTTTGTATTATCTAAGTTATACATTATTATGACAAAAATTATTATTTTTGAAGTAGCTAGTACAAAGATGATGACCGGTAATCATTGACTGGATCTTTAGAGTTTAAGGATTACAAATAGATCTGTACATGTTTACATGTTCCCTACAAATCCCCTTAGGATGACACAGGGAAACACTTCCTTGTTTTGATTCTTACTTTGATTAACATTTGCTAAGCACTCAATTTGTGCGAGCACTATGTGAGACACTGGAGTTGAAGAGGGAGAAGGAAGAACATGTACAAAGAGACAATGCAAGGTCCAACCATTCAAAGAAGTGTTGTATAGTTTTAATGAAGGAGATAAAATTGTACACAGATACTACAGAAGGCAATGAAAGGAGGAATTAGGATACTCTGAGTGATGTAATAATTATAGAAATCACTAGCTTTAAATTGCCAAATTAGAACATTACAGTTCTAATCTGCTGGGATAGGGCAGGAGAGCAGTACAGAGGGAATGTTAAAGAATCAGAGCTCTCAAATAGAAATGAAGCTGGATCTGACAGCTTTCTATACCTTCCAGCCTTTTCAATATCATGGTGTGTGTGCATAGATAGATAGATGATTGATAGATAGATAGATAGATAGATAGATAGATAGATAGATAGAATTTTATTTTTACAATGCATCAAGGAATAAAGGATTTGTGTTAGAGGAAAACAAGCCACCAGCGACCTAGGCCTTGTCCAGCTGCTTCCAAGGTTAACAAGACTGGTGTCCCTGAGGCCCACCATACCCATTGAGAAACTCTGCGTATTTGAGACATGCTCCTTACATGGATTTGCCCACTAGAGAGTCAGAATCTCAAATATAATATGAAGGAATGTTGGCCCAGCACAGTTGATGTGGATGTGTGATGTGCCATGGTTAGCAAGGCAATCTGAGTCGGGATGGAACTCCAGCCTGAACACCCACTAGCTTCCATCACCTTGGCAAGTTAGCTCACTCCTCTAAGCTTCATGGAAATGTCACTAATAAAATGGAATGCCCTGCTGAGCCATGTTGGAGCCTGAAACAAAAGGAAGACTGCGTGTTCCTATATACCTTATCAAAATAGCCCCTTTATTGTGAATCAAACGAGAATAGTTAATTGAAGTTTTCAGGGGCAAATTATGACTTCTGTTTAAAGCTCTGCATTGCCCAATCTGTTTGCATGACATTATCAACCCTAATAAACCGGCTGGTGGGGCATGCTGTTGATTGGAAATGACTGTTCCTGTTGCACAATAATACAGAGTTGTAGAACAAAACAGCCTGCTTTTATTTAAAATTATGATGGTGTTTATGCTTAGTGAATGCTTGGCATTAATTTTTTTAAAATATTACATTACAATATTATTTACACTGAGTGCTGAGGTTTTTGGTTCCCCATTAAATGTTGCTTGCCCCTGTGGTGAATGCCTCATTCTCCTCACCCTAATTGGGATTCCAAAAAATGTACTTTGAAGGACCACTATAACTACAAATAAAGACTATAAAATATCTTTATAAAATCTGTACTTAAAAGCAATAGTCATTGCTATCTGATTTTATAATACCTAACAGATTCCTTAGCTATTACTGAATGTGTTTTCTGAGAGTCCCTGAAAAAGCAGTGTGAATGAGAACAATACGCAGTTTATTCAACATGCTGAAAAGATACACAGTGAGTTCTGAAATCTGCCTCCGATCTGGTCACCAAGGAAATGTTGATGACCCTTAACCAGAATATACAAGGGAAAGGTGCTGGCCCAGCTGGGATTTCTCTTCTTCCAAGTTCTGGGAACCCTCTTGTGTATCCAAGACAATCTGCTCTCTCATGTCCCCTCTGTCGCTTTAGACTCCCAACAATGACACTCAGATAGCTTTTAGTCTTTGCTTGTACCAAAAATGCTTGAAGTACTGAGTTTACCAATAGATTTCCATACACAACTCCGATTCCCTCCTTTAGGTTCAGCAAAATGCTAAAGGACAGCTTGACTAATTGTACCATCATTCCTTCTGTCTTCCTCATAGGTAACTCTTCTTTCTGGGCCAATATTGATTCTCTGTGGACAGACATGAGGATTTTAAATTCCCCTTTTGGCAGGAAGAGTAAGTTCCTGCCAGGAGTATGACCCCATGTGTTTCCCTGTTAGCAGGTTCGCGGTGGTGGCTTCTTTCCTCAGCAGCAGCAGCAGCTGGAAAGCATTCCTGTTGAACCACTTCACGCCCAGTACTGGGAGAGCTACGGAAAATAAACTAACATGAAACATCATCTGCCTTTGCCTCTGAGAATGATACCCCAGGGCAAGTTGATGGCAAACACAATAAAGTCACCAATGTGCAGTTGCATTAAACAAATACGGAAAAATTAGCACATTGACTATTTCTAATTATCTCCATTAATTCTGTAATGTGGTGTCTAGAGGAAACGGTTCTGTGGTAAATCTGCAAGATGTTGCTTTCAGCCTAGGAAGACAAATAAATAGGTACTACTTTAGCTTTTCATTCTCTTGGTCGTTCACAGAGTGAAAAAAAGAAAAAAAAGAAAAACCCCAACTACTTTAAAAATTGAAAAAAATATTACCCATCAAAAGAGAAAGTGCTTACAAAAGGAAAGACTTGACAAGAAGTAATATGTAGACACAGCACCAGGCTTCTCACTTCTGATGAATTTGCAGTCTAAATACTAAAATATGCTGTTTCCCATTTCACCTTGTTTCCACAGAGACCAGGGCTGACAAAGAGCCCGTCACCAACAGTTACCGCCCTTTGTCTGCCCTGGTTGCTGAAGGCTGCATGAGCAGAGAATGAGCAAATGTGGGATAAATGTAAGCTGCTGATTTCATTCACACTTGGAACCTTATCTGTCTCCCATCTGAGTCACTAAGGAGCTCTCAGATTTGCCTCAATCTGACTTATTTTATGCTCTGGCTTTTCTTCCATCTACCTTTTCTTCTTTGTGTGTAATAAAAATAACACAGTAACACATGGAAAGATAGAAAGCAAAAAGTTAAGAATCACTGATAATTTTCAAAAAAATTTTTAAATCATCAAAAAATAAATACAAATAATATTTGGATATAGTTTCTTCCAGATTTTTCCCTGGCTCCTTCTCCTTATGTATGTATTCTCTATGTTCTTTCCCACTTATCTGAAATACCACTGAGGAAGTGAAATCCCAAGTATCCTTAGGTCTGTTTCTAGATTCAGTTTCAGTGACTTTTTTTTTTTCCATATTAACTTGCAGAGTTCTGAGAGGTCATTAGATCCTTTGTAATGTGACTTCAGAGGAATTAGGGGAGAAGATCAGTCTGCTATGAGCACAAGGACTAGGTCTCCCAGCCTTCCTTTTACCAGATCAGCTTTTATTTTTTAAAAAACTTTGGACTTCTGTGTGAGATTTTGTTTGAATAAAGGGTTTTGTGGCAAAAGCAAAATAAAATGAAAATGTCACATATTCTGTTCCATTTTTCTGTAGGGTACATGAAATTTTGATGTTATGCTTTTGTAGCAGCTATTCGAATGTGTCAATATTGATATTACTGTTTTCTAGTGACTATGCTTCCATACAGACTAAAGAGCAATGATACATATAAATCATACGTGAGTATTATGTAAAATAGATTCCCTCACCTACTTCCTGAGTCAACTCTGGCCATGGTCACCCTCTTCTGATGTCCCCTATAATGCCTTCATCCATTCCAGGGAGAGAACAGAGTTCTCACAAGGCCTAGGCTCATCCCTGGCTGCTCTCAAATCACTAGTAATGGGAAATCCAGCTGTACTCCCTAACACCAGAGAAATCCACAGTGGCTGATCCCAGCTTGCTGCCTAGAGACTGACTGCCCACATGCTGCACTATTCTTGTCATAGTAACTTCCATATGCAAAATACGGAACTTCTGTGGCCCAATTGCTCCATGTCTGTCTTTGCCACCACCCTACTGCTGGATCCTTCTCCCTCACATTCCCCATACTCACTAACGAAGCTCTTTATGCCTCTCCACACTCATTTTCTGCTCCAACAGTAATCATTTTCCAGGATTACTGAAAGAGAAGGACTATTCTTTCTGGATTGGTAAAATATCCACTCTATAAACCAGCATGTGGCCTTCCCTCATGACCCAAGCAAGAAAATAATGAAAAAAGTTTTACACTGGCCTAACCTATTAGCTATATATATGTAATATGCTTTATCTATCCTACCCATGAATACTTCATCAGAGAAGCCAAGGAAGCAAAGAAATCTGCTCATCTTCTAAGAGTTTGACTCACGTACATATTAAATGGTCTGGCCCTCAATACTGTGATTTCTCTCTTGATGTGGCTATGTTCTTGTTCATTTACATTCAATTAGTAAATGATTTGACTGTTTACTAATGGCATTTACTGAAGATCTAAAAGATATACACTTCTGTTTTTATGGAATTTCTCATTATTCTAAATCTAGTTGAATGAACGCAAAGTAGGTACAATGGGACAGTAGACATGGGAATGGGGGGATATTCAGGCCGCATACAGATCATGGCCATTTATTCAATACTTTCAATGATTATGTTAATTATATTCGATTTATAATCACAGTTGATAAGGATAAAATATATTATTGGAGGCTAAGTTATTATAGGCTTTTGAAATAGTTTACTGAGTTAATATGACTGTAAAATTGATATATTTTTAATTTTAAAATGCCAACAGTGTAAAAGTTTTTCCTCATTGGTATAAGGGTTAAAGATAGAATAAGGGTCAAGAATGTTTTCAATAGAACATTTTTTGGTAATAAAATATGCATTTTATACTAGAGCAGGGTCCTTTTGGTGTGATTATGTAAAAATATCTCAGATTGGAGGTCTACACCAAAATCACAGAGTTTTGACCGCTGTAGTTATATAAAACAATTTAATATCTAGCAGGGCAAAGCCATACTATAAAATAATTCCTCTTATTTTTTCTTTAGGATTTTATTGGTGGATCTTACTTGCTTATTCTTCCAGATATACTTTAGAATCATTTGGTCAAGAAATGAATTAAACTTTGACTTTACAGAAAGAGTATTTTGGGCAGCTAAGAGAAATTACAATACCTGTAGGCATGATCTTTAAACGCAATTCTATTAAATGCTTTCAACATTCTGCTTCAGTGAGGATCACCAGAAGCTCTGTTGACCTTTAATGCCTAACATTTGTCCTCGTGGTAAATTAGAACTGGTGAACACAATTGGTGGTTCTTTCTATTTTCACACTCTATTTTTTCCAGAATGTCTGGGAGGTGTGAGCAGGTCATCCTGATCCATCAGCACCTCATGAAGGTGAGGTGTCATTAGACCCTCAATTGACTGCTGCCCTCTTTATAGGGATCATATGGTATAAGCTGTTGTCAAGGAAAAGCCTAGATGTGGAAAGGAGGAACAAACTTTAAATTACAAGTTGGAAGGTGGGCTATGAAAGACTAATTTTGGTCTTCCTGCTGGTTATTCTTTATCCTTTTAGAAAATATATTCAAACATATGTGTACATGCAGTTTCTGGATGGCATCACAAACTTACCACCTGTTCACTTGCCTCTTTGCCTTTGTCTTATGTTGTTGTAGGTGGCCATGAACAGGAACACACTCAAGTTACCTTAAGGTTATGGAATTTTATTTTAAAGAGTCCTGGTGAAATGAGGAATCATTCAGCTCTTTCAGGTTCCAAGAAAATGAGAACCTTGTAGTTGTAGTTAAATATAAGGATGCCCATTGAAATAAGAATGACAGAAAATAACGAAAGAGTTTTATACTGATATATATGTATTACATATTTGAAGTGTGGGTTATCTGTCCTACCTATAAAAACTTTCTCACATAAGCAAAAAAACAAAAATCCTGGGCATTTTCTGAAAATATACAAATGACAATTTGCATATTACATGGTCCACCTCCTGAATACTTTGATTTCCCTCTTGACTTTACCATGGCCTTATTCATTTACATTCGACTAATACATTGTTTTACAGTTTAATAGAGCTGCTCACTCAGGCTTCAAGGAACTAGAACAGGATTTAAAGTGGCATCAGAACACAATGCCTCCACTCTAATATGCTGTCCTAGTAGTGATTCAAGTTATCTGCTTGTACTTCTTCTGAGACTATTGACCCCTTCAGAAAGTTCCCTCTACTCTTATCTACTTCCCTTTTGGGCTTCTTCTTACTCATGGCAAGTGACTGCATCAACACCTTCTTTCTCTCTGTCTCTCTCATCCTGTGCAACTCCACCCTGCCAAATCTTTCTGGATGTCTGGCCTTCAAACTCACCCGGAGAGAGAATCTGATTAGTTCAGCCAGTCACCATCCTTACTGAAAAGTTTTGGTCGTGGCCTTTAAATGGGTTATCTTTGTTTGTATCAGGCATCAGTCCCTAGTCCAATTAACTGTGGCTGGGGTAGGGTTACGTGGCAGAAAACATGAGTATCTGTGTCCAGGGAATCCTACCCCCTGCAGCTGCTTTTCTCAGAAAGACACCATGCACGTGTCAGGCCTTCAGAGTGGAATGGCCTGTTTAGTATCGGAAAATTTTAGATTTTGCTTCCTTATTGAAGACATCAACTCTTGTTCTGCCATAAACATTGGTCTTGACATTGGTCACTGAAATGACAGAACACCACAGAATGCAGCTCAAAGCAGCATGTGTTGGCAGCAGAGATTTCTTGGCCTTAGCCCCTCAAACAGAATCAGTGAGTGACTTCAGCCAGAAAGGTATAGCTGCTGGTATGGTACCTGTTTCCTGTGTTTCCTAAGTCATACCAGCCTGGAGGTGGAACATGAAAATCAGCAGCCAAATAATATTTTTCAAGGTCCACCCTCTTGTGCACTGAAATAGCTGCTCTCTCTCCCTTAAAATTTTTACCAGTAGAGCTGTAGTTCCCAGAGTTTCTCCGATGTGTGCCGAGAAGTAAGCCTCTCAACTGTCATGGCATTCCTGCATTCTATACCTCCTTTGTCTTGAATCCTTGCAATGAACACCCTGGCTGCAGCTGATGCCAACAGTAGTAGCTGTGTCTCCTGCCAGAAACACCACTGCAGCTGCTTCTGCTGCTGCCACTGCCTTTCAGGCTGAGACTACTCCTACCTGCAGAAAAAGAGGTCACTAGATAAATATTAAGGGTAACTATGTCCGATGTCAAGAGCACTGACATCCAGTCACAGCTGCAGCAAACTCTGCTTCCATGAAAGTTACTGCTTTCATTGCCAGTTCTGCTGTCACCACCATCAGTGCCTCTCCTGGTGCCTAAGAGCTTGATGCCCCAGAGACATCTAAGGAAAAACAGCTTTTTAAACTTGTTCTTTCATTAAAATTTTACCTTCTACAAGTTCAGTCATAAGTCTACAGAAATTGAGCCAGAGTATAATCTAGGTGAGATTTGGGTTGAAAATTGCCACTCGTCTTCAATATCAGTGCCCTGGCTTCTCTCCCTCCCTGTATTTCTTTGGGATGAGTTCTTTCCCACAAACTTCTTGGTTCCTCATGAGTATCAGAACAGATAGGTCTCAGCCACCCCACAGAGTAGCAAAGTGATTAGCTACTTCAGAGTAGTTAACTCTACCTAATTATGTAATTAATTACTCCATAGTCACCCAGGCTAAAAAAAATATATAAAAAATCTACAAGTATGTGTTTTAGGAGATTTAAGGATATCCTAATATACATAATTGATATGAAGAAGAATTAAAATTTTATCAACTATACTCTTCAGTCTAAAGAAAGAATACAGAAGGTAGGTGGTCTGTCTCAATTACAGAAATGGGAAGATCAATATGCAAAATTTTTATATTTTTTATTCAATATCATCAGAAAAAGAAGACACAGAATCTGATAGACAAGAAGATCCCAGTCACTGAAAATGTGTAGTCTGCTTTAGCACAAATACCTTGTAATACATCACCATGGCCTCAGAACATTTCATCAAGATTATTAAAGTATTATTGTGATATTTATATCTTGATTAAGATGTGTTTGTGTATTATTAAATGAGTTTAATCTAAGCACTACTAAATTTGAGGCAGTACGAATCACCCAAATGGACCTGTTGTGTAGATACCTGGATATATAGGAAGAGGACTAACCTAGAAATATGAATTGGTGCATTTCACCATGTAGATGAAGGCAGGAGAGTAGATGAAATCATCTAGGGAAAGAATGTAAAAAAGAGAACAGGGTTTCTAATCAAGTGCGAGGGAACCCCAATATCTAAATAATGAATAGAAGGGAAGGATCTGGCAAACACAATCAAGAAAGAGTGGCCCAGTGAAGCAGACGAAATACTAGAAAAATGGAATGTCATGGAAATTTATTTAAGGGACTGTTTCCAGCTGGAGAGAGTGGTTGGTGCTGTCCATGCTCTTGAATGACCCAAAAATACGATTTTCTAAAAGTTAAAAACATGACTTTCATAAAACTATAAAATTGGCCCAAGTCAAATAATTTATTCAACTCATTAATTAAGGAAGAAAACAGTATGTCTGGTTCAGAGGAGAATTTGAAGGTCAGATATTTGAACAGTCAAAGGCATAATAAAATTAATTTACTACTAAACAAAAAATTGGTTAATATCCTACAGGCCAATAAACTGTAATGGTTGGGGTTACCTTTTCTACCTGATGAAAATAAATTGCATCTATTCTAAACCAAATTACTTTATTGCAGTAGGCAGGAATAATTTTCATTTCTGTCAGCCCACAATCACTTGCATTAATACCAGTTTTTCTCTATAAGTTTATCACTATTAAGTTGCAAAATAGCCTGGTCAATAAAAACTCAGTCAAAGTTGCATACCGCTATAGAATTGTATAATACCCAGATGAGCTAGACAGTGACTACATGACTGGTTTATTTCACTTCATATAATGACCTCC